TTTCTATAAGAATAACTTATTATTTAATATTTCTATAATAAATAGTGTCATTGATTTGCTTGGATCAAGYATTGAATTTTGCACCCCTGTATCTGTTTGTCTCCCTGCTGTAAAGACACGGTGAGGTAAAATGCACAATTAGATATTAGTAGAAAACAATGAACCAACTGACACCAGTTTCTAATCTTTTTTTTTTTTTGCTAATTAATACAAATTAAAGACACCAGAACTGGTCCACATCACGTCCTGTAAGTGAGGTGTTCCAGTTAGACTCAGCTGAATCATTTCTTGATGTTCTGTGTTGTTTCTGTKCTGCAGGCTGATGAGCTGGAGTACACGTTCAAAAGGCTGGTTGATGGACTCGCCCACACCCGGGAGACCGCAAGACCCGGGTTCAGCCTGGCTCTGGGACAGGTGAGTGGACCCCAGACCCGGGTTAACACCATCTGTGGGTCAGTTTGGGAAAATAAATCAAAAGTTTCTCACTGTCTCTTTAAGATTTCTAACCCTGTTGTTCATAATATTAATAATAATATTGTATTTTATATTCATTTTTCAGTTTCTAACCCTGATTTATTCATTTCAACCAGTTTTTTTTGGCAGAGTTTCCCCAAAAAATTGTTTTTTTYCCAAACAAATAAAAAGTTAACTAGCAGGCACTTTTTTGCTTTATCAGCGGGATTTTATTGAGTTTTTAAAGCTGCAAAACAGCAATATTTGGAACATAACACTGAAAATCTATATTCAAAAGACTATTTAAAACATATTCAGTATCATTTAGCCCAAGCTAAATGTTTTTTAATTCCTGTTTTTATATATATATTCTGCATTTTCTCGGATTATTTTAGCTTTAACTGATTGTAAGGTGGTGCTTTAGGTTAAAACTCTCCAGTAAGTGAGCCAAATTGTAAATATCTGACCTCTGAATGGTGTTTTTCTCTCTCAGGTCTTGAGTGCCTTTAAAGACGTSTCCCTGCAGAGCATCCTCGACAGAATTAGAGACAGACACAACCTTCAGGCTGTGAAAAAGGTGAGCTTTCACTTTTCTGTCGTTTGTACTCAATTGGGWCCAAAAAGTTTTATAAATGYTTTTAAGTGTCAAAATCYTGTTTTTGTTTTTCAGAAACTTGGCAGAAATGCGATGTTTGGAAACTTGTTCGGTGTCCTCGCCATTCATCAGTCGGGACGCCTCGTCCAAGTACGTTTAGTTTAGTTTGGACTGTTGATCCCGATCCAGTGTGTGTGTTCAAAGAGTTTTTTAATCTAAGTTCTGTCTCGTGTCTCTGCAGGAGCCAAAGGTGGTTCTGGGATGCGTGCAGCTCCTCCAGAGTCTGAGCCAGCACAAGCAGCACCTGAAGGACCTTCCCAGTAAGACCATGATGGACATCCTCACCGAGGTAACGTCTGCTGCAGGCTCACAGCTTTACGTATCCTAACGTGCCGCTCGTAAACCCGCTCACATGTCGCCTCCTTCAGATCCCAGAGGAGGTGTTTGAGGAGGTCCTGCTGGGGGCTCTGCAGGCGGACCTGAAGTCAGCCTTTAGCGCTCCAGAGTCGCTGCAGCTCCTGTTGGTGGCGCTGCAACGCTTCCCGCAGGCTCTCAAACCCAAGAAACTGAAGAAGCTGCTGGGTTCTGCCACCATCATCACTTCTGACAACATCCCCAAGTAAGAGCTCAGTTCAGCTCAGATCTTCTTCTTCTTCTTCTTCTTCTTCTTCTTCTTCTTCTTCTTCTTCTTCTTCTTCTTCTTCTTCTTCTTC